TATCTAGTGGCAGATATGGAGCTATCATTAGCGAGATTGATTCCTACTCAGCTCAATTCCAATGTGATTTTACATTTAAGCGTCGCTAGGTCCGGGACGCCATGTCTGATTTGACCAATCCCACGACCAGAACCGTATCTCACATTCAAAGGTTTTTCATGAATAAAACTTGGTTATATCCTAGAAAAAAAGCTGCGCGTGATACGAGTGTGCGGAATATTGTTATTGTTGCGTCCGACTTACTGCTATGGCGTGCTGCCGATTAGGAGGAAGCGACACCTCGCTGCTCTTCTAGGTCCTGCATGCCGCTGCCGGCCTGCCACCACGAGCAAGGTGGAAGACAAGTAGACAACCCTGCTGGTAGAAGTAGAGCGCCATGTGCATGGCTGCAAAATTCACCTGCGGTGGCTTGTATTCCACCAACTGTGTATGGTTCCAAGCATCTCTGCTTGTAGACAAGTAGTACGAGGTTCTGGGCATCGCGTTACTGTGGAGATCGCACAGGAAGTCTCTCTCTCAGTCTTCTGGGCATCGCATTACTGTGGAGATCGCACAGGAAGTCTCTCTCTCAGTCTTCCGGGCATCGATCAGCAATTCAACAGCGACCCCCAAACCTGACCGGGATACTTTGCTTTTACCATATGCAGGTTCGATGTGGCGAGCGAATAGGATCTTATTCTTATCCCTGCCGCCTCAGATTTACGCTGTCTCTGCATGCTCCACCGCCAGATGCCCGCCTGAGTGGAGGACGGCCGGCCGGTCGCCATGCCACGGACGCTTTCATGGGCCATATCCACCATCACAACGCGGATATAATAAGCATCTCCTGTAAAAGCGAATCCACGCAAGGCCGTACGTACATGAGGCACACTTGCACAGATCGGAGAAACAGAAAGAAACAGAGAGCGAGATGGCGATGCCGTTCAGCGGCCATTGCCACGGCTACGTCCAGCTCCGGCCCCAGCCCCCACATGAACCTCCACCCCCACAGCTCCGGCTACGCCGATGTACATGCTATTGGTAGAAAGAAATTGAAAAATAAATGAGAATGCCAAGCTTAAGTTTGCTTGCTCGGGCGATGGGGATACAGATCCTCTGACTCGGGAAGGGAAGTCAGGGCGCGCGGCAGGAGATGGAGAGCGAAATGTTGGCAAAAAAATTTGTTCGACCGGCCCTCTTTTTCCCTATCAAAATGCTTAATTCCGAGTTGAAGCGTCTCAATGGCTCCTATAACAACAACATTAGCTCGCGGTCAAACCGAAAACTCACGAATTGATGAGTTACGATTAGTATAATTATGGTTTTACTAATTTTAAGTCAGCGGGGGTTTTCTTCAGTCTCAATCAAGTCAGAAAATTGCTACTCAAGTTTAGAAAAAGCTAAGACTTCGCCCTTCCTCAGAAAAATGCAACAAAGTTTTTTTTTTGCGGGAAAATGCAACAAAGTTAAAAGGTGCAAGTTACATTTTTCATTGAATTGAAGTTGCTTTCTGAATCGATTGACAATTCAAAAAAGCCTAGTCGACTTACCGAAGCCCCTTGGTGTCATCGACATCCTAGACACGGTAAATTCACAGGAGATATTTTTTAAAGATGACTTCAACACGAATCGTCTCTCCCCACAAGCCTTCTGTTGTACTGGAATCCCCCAGTTGATGATAAAGACAAGATGCCCAACTCTTTTTGGGTGCAACTAGGTACCAGAACCATAACTTATGGCTTGATAACCAAGTAGTTCTACCATTCAACATGGCTTGATGGGTAGGCCAACAGATTACG